TCAGAAATGCTCATTAAGCTAGACTTAATGCATATCTTATATTCTGCTAGATAAGCGTACTCCTGTGTCTGGGGATTCAGCTGGCAAGTTTGTCCTGCAAACTTCCTCCAAGGCTGAGGCCTGCTCCAACCCTAGGGCAAAAGGATCAAATATGGGGGGGTCCTGCTGTTACAATCCCTTCTCATGTTCCTTCGCCAATCCTGAGGGAGCATTTCAGTCTTGTTCACTCTAACACTCTTAGTTTGGAGAACAGATGATCTAAAATTCCCCAGGGCAGCAGGGAATTGGGCTCTGGCCCCAAACGCATTTATGACTTAAAGGGACTAGACTCTTCTCAGCTCCTGTTAAAATCAGCCACCGCATCGAAGGTTTGATCCAAGAATTCTCTGCAAAGTCTCTAAAATTACATCCTTGGTCTTGCCTGCTTCAACCACAGTCTTTCACATTTTTTTTTTTTTTTTTGCCTTAGCGTGCTCCTTCTCAGCCTGATTTTTAACAAACTGGCAACTTTAAAATGTAAAACAGCCAACGCTCTTTTCTCCCAGAGAAGACTTTTCCGGTGAGAGCCTCACACACACATATTCACTCACACACAGCATCAATGACAAACCATATGCAAAGAGCAACTACGTTTACTTTACAAAATAATATCTTATTGAAATATCAATTTCTGCCTTGTTCTTGCCACTGGAGACAAAAGAGTGAGCCAAGTTATGTTTTTTCCATCTGTCCCTCCTGGAGGCAGCCAGGCCTCTGGGTTCTGAGTTTCCTTGTCCTCAGGAGGTTAAGATCAGTGTGCTAGAGTCAGATTGCTTCAAGTCCCAGATCTACCGTTAACTAACTTTGGGTAAATTGCTCAAGCCTCAGTTTCCCCATCTGTAAAATAATGGAAATAATAAATGTAACAAGGTTATACATGGAGGAGCCAGCAGAATGCAAGTGAGTACTTCACACAGAGGAAGCCTTTAATAAATGTTATTATTACTACGTAAGGACAATGCATATATTTTTTCTCTTCCACATTGTAGGCATTGAAATAGAGGATGGAGAGAAAGGAAGGATGGAAAGGACCAAGGGATAGAGTAGTGGATGGTGTTGGTGCCCCACCCTGTCCCTTGCCCCTTCTAGGGGTCACTTTGCACCTTCAGTGGACCATTCCCTGTGCTGGGCAGATTGGAAGTGCAAGGGAGGGAGTGGTCACAGGGTGGCAGTAGTCAGCAGGTAAATCCCCCGGCCCCTCAGTCCCTGGGGAGGCAGTTCTGAGGCTTGTCCCACATGCTGCCCAGAGCGGTGGCTCTTCCACTCTGCACCTTTCCTGGCTCCCTCCCTCCCTGTCTCGTTTTCCCACTTCCTGGGGCCACCTCCCAACTAAACTATTTGCACCTAAATCCTTGTCTCGGGCTCTGATTTTGGGGGCCCCCAAATAAAGACAATAGGATAAAGGAAACGATAAGCCAGAGATGAAGGAGGGACAAGAGTTACAAAGTCCTGGCAGATGGGACCATGTCCCCTTATCTCTGTTCTGCAGACATGCCCCTGTTATTTGCTGACATTTGAAAGGCTTCAGAATTTGGGCCCTGGAGTCAGACAGCTTTGACCCCAATCCCAGCTCCACTACCTACTGCTAAGTGACTGGCCTCAGTTTTCTCTCCTGAAAAATAGGGATAATGCTGGTACCTCCATATACCGTGGATTCCTCCATATAAATTAATGCATGTAAAGTGCTCAGAACAGTGTCTGATAGTACAGGAAGTGGCCAGTTAAAGTTAGATGCTGTTACTGTCATTTGAGACACTGACCTGCCACTCTGGGCCTCAGTTTTATCATTTATAACATGGGAACGTTCAGTGGCCTGGCAGTGTACAGAGCATCAGTGCGATGCCTTAGTACCAGCTTTTCCTCCAAGTACTCATTACGGATTTGCTTATTTATTCACATGCTACTTATTTATTTACATATGGCTCAACTGTGTTCTAAAATGGGTTCACACTATCTTAACTGCATGCAGCAAGACAGTATGAATTAGAAGTGGAATAGAAAACAGAAAAACAAAGGTTAGGATTTAAAATACAGCTAGAACGAGGACAAAAGAGGACTAGCTGTAATATAATCCCTCTTCGCCCAGTTTGGGGTAAAATTTCCTGCAGATTTACTCACGTTACCATTCCAAA